TTTACATTCTAGATGGGTTTTAGAAGTTTAATAATGCTTGGAGACGGCTTGAATGGGTAATGAAGAAAAACTTTGATATAAGTTTAACATAACAGCAAAAGTACAACGTTTCGACAAGGTTTTGTCATCATCAGGTACATTAAAAACCAATCTATCAGGATGATCCCTAAGTTATATTATGTACTATCTTGCATGCTGTAGTGAGAAGCGAGAGTTTGATGGTGACTTTGGTAAATTGAAACTCTTGTTCCTGGAGCTAATGAATTCCATTGCTGTAAACAATGGCCAAGAAGTTCCCCATGATGATTTGATAGAGACAAGTCACGAATCAGTTCATTTAACTCTTCTTGTGTGATCATATGGTGCAGTTTATGTTGAGGTGCCACAGGAATAGAATTACTAGATGAAGATGATTCATTGTCTTCTTCACAGGATAACTCTTCTGTTTCACAAATCGTTGGTGGATGTGGCACTGGAAGACCATTCTTATATTGTAAATGTTTCATTGCAGATGCAATATCTGGATATTTAATGTATTGTTTACTTTTACCTGAATACTCAGAAACATTAGTCATGCTGAAATAACAGGCAGTCAGATGATCTTTAGGCTAACGCCACATCATGGGAACTACAAATGGCGTACTTGCTCTCTTCTTATTCAGGATGTGTCAAGCCAGATGTACAAACTGTACAACACACATGTGGAACCAAGTGTTTTTCTCGGTCACCAAAATAGTGGTAGTAAGCTACCTTTACCTTGTGTGCGATTTTTTTTCTACGTGAAGCTGTAATATATTTTCCAGAAATGTAGCAGAAACTGTTTGAATACTTTTTGCACTTTAATTGAAATGGGGAAAGCCAGCATTTCAAATGATTTTCTAAAAAATATAAAATAATTTACTTTTACAGAACTAGAGTTAAAAGATTTAAAAAAAGGTTTTGCAGAATTTGATTATAACGTAGGTATGATGTGAGGAAGAAGATTGGATTTTGTTCTGACCGTGCACGGAGAGAGACGAAGTGACCAACTGAGTGAGTGAGAGACAATTGAGAGAGAAGCGTCTGACTGTGCCCCTTTTATACTCAGTTGAGGGACTTATCGAATGTTCTAGCAAATTGTGCACGTGAAGATTTCATGATTTCCTGCGGGTCAGGTGTATATGAAAATGAAGCGAAAATGGTGCAATTCACTACAATTATATCAGAAACAAACAGCATATATGAACAATATATTTGGAACTTTACACCAATACAATACAGTCGGTGTTTGAAGTTATCAAAAATGTATGCCTTTTACCCATTAAACTGTCCGAGTAAACTTAATTTCACAGCATAAATGTATTGTACTGAGTTGATTGCATGGTATTTCACATAATGCTGATAAATTACTGAGATATTACGATATCTAGAGGCGATGGGCGATTTCTAATTACATTTTTGAAATCAGCACCATCAAATTACATCAAATCACTTGAGGTTTCTCCAGTAGCAAACGCTTTGTTGTCCAATGTAATCAAACTTCGTTTTCCACCAAATCAATCAAAAGGAACATAACACGAAGAACGAAGACTTGTAGAAGTAAAGAATAAAGAAAAACATCAAATGAATGAATAAAGCATGTACAGCAGAAAGAAGAAAGGTTTTAAAACGGGTAGGTGGAAATAAGTCTGAAATCTTGAATGATAGGAGGAGGAAAAAGATGATGAAGAAGAATAGTACACCTTTGTCTGTGAAAATACAATGAAGACAACACGCAAATAATGCAATTTTATGCAGTAGGTATGATTAAATCCAATCACTAACTATCAACTAATAAGGATAATGAAGAAATAAGACAAGACCTGAAAAAATATATGTGGGTAGAGAAAATAGTGAAGAAATTAAAAAATAAAATAATATAAATAGGAGAAAATCATGAGATGTAAGCGGAGAAGAAGGCTGAAGAGACATGGGCAAGGATGAGAGATAAAATTAAGCAAGTTATTAATTTAAGGAGAAAAGAGGAAGAGGAAAGTCGTGGGATGAAAAATTAAGGAAAGCGAAAGAAAGACGTACAAAAATGTAAAGAGATCAGTAAAAGAAGATGAAAGAGAGGTACACACAGGGGAACATAAATATATAAATAAGTATAAGATATACAAATAGAGAAATGGTGACAAAAACAAAGAATTAAAGGCAAAACAAGACCTGTATAGGACAGAAAGAAAGGACAGGGAATTAGAAAGAATATAGGAATGGATCAGTGGGAACAATACTTTATAGGATTACCAGCTGAAGATGAAGTAACGCTATGAAAGGAATATAAGAGGAATATAAATGGAGAAAAGCAGTAATTTGTCCAATTTATAAAGTGGGATACTGGGAAGAGGCACAAAGTATAGATTGTTTATTCATAATTAAGCACAAAGCTACATAATGGGCTAGCTGTGCTCTGCCCACCACGTTGTCAATCCGCAGACATACCGCTGTGCCACTGGGGGGCGAAAGTATAAAGGAATGTCCATCATAGCATCTTGATATCAAACGTACGAAATGATATTAGAAGAAAGGTTATGCCTTTAGGGCAGCCATGAAGGGCTTGGAAACTTCTGGACAATATTTATACAGTTAATATACTGATAAAAGGAGAATTGGAAAAAAAAACCAGAGGAAAGTACATGCTTTATATTCGGCTTTCAAGTCTTCATCGGATTCGATAAATCGAGAAAACTGTTTGGAATGTAAAAAAAGGATAAAAATAAGGAGAAACATAAGAAAAAAGATACATAAAGAAACAGGGAATGAAGTTATAGGACGAAAGAAGCAGATTGGTAAATTGTGGGCTACCAGAAGAGTGAGACAAGGTTGCCCATTAAGCCCTGTTCAATTCTGATATAGAAACGCATTTGAAGAACAACTGAATCTTAAAGATTATTTTTAGCGGAAAGCTAAACAATGGGCTATTTGCGTTCTGTCCACTACAAGGAATCGAATCCTGGATTTTAGCATTGTAAATCCATGAACTTAACTTTGACTCACCGGGAGACTTGATGTGAAAGGATAAAATATGATACCTGGCATATGAAAACCATATAGTTATAATAGTTAAGAAGTAAGAGTTAATTACCGTCGATAGTCAGAAGTTTATAAAAATTGGTTGAACGTTTAATATGGTAAAATTAACAACACATTTTTAAAAAATGCAAGTGAAAGAGCCCCCTCTACCAACAAAACAGGCATGGAGAAAATAAAAAAACTGAGATGGTAGGGAAATTTAAATATTTCGGCTATATTTCTTAAAATGATAATGGCACGACATTGCACGTCAGTTGTTTAGTAAAAAAAACAAACAAACAAAAGGCTTACAAAGAAGTTTTAAAAAAAGACAGATAAAATGGTGGAAGAGAAGAAAGGAAGTGAAGAGATGGTTAAACGAAAATGGGGGGGGGGGATATATGAAATGCAGAGACTGGAAAAAGGATGAAAGAAGAACAAAGCGTAGAAACAAATATCATAAGAAACAATAAGTTCAAGTTCAGTTGCCAGATATTATTTTACATTAAATAAATGTTAAAATTCTTTATTGATTGATTATATTTTGTTAAGAATTTTATTGTTTAATAACACATGACAATCTTCTTCCACAGTGGGTTTGGTGGAATACATTTTTTCTGTTATATTTTAGTATTGTTATAAAACTTATTTAGATGTAGACATGATGACTAACGTACATAATATAACTTAGGGACTGCCAGATAGATTGATTTTTAAACGGAAACATGGTGACTAACGTACATAATATAACTTAGGGACCACCTGATACATTGGTTTTAGATGTAGACATGATGACTAACGTACATAATATTAATTAGGGACCACCTGATAGATTGGTTTTTAAATGGAGACATGGTAACTAACGTACATAATATAGCTTAGGAACCACCTGATAGATTGGTTTTAAATGGAGACATGGTAACTAACGTACATAATATAGCTTAGGAACCACCTGATAGATTGGTTTTTAAATGGTAACATGGTGTCTAACGTACATAATATAAATTAGGGACCACCTGATAGATTGTTTTTAAATGGAGACATGGTGACTAACGTATATAATATAGCTTAGGGACCACCTGATAGATTGGTTTTAGATGTAGACATGGTGACTAACGTACATGATATAGCTTACGGACCACCTGATAGATTGGTTTTTAAATGGAGACATGGTGACTAACATACATAATATAGCTTAGGAACCACACGTTAGATTGGTTTTAAATGGCAATCTGTGCTCTGTTAACCGAAATCTGATATTTAGTGTTATAAGCCTTTCATCAGTCTTATCGTTGAGATCTGTTTCTTTGTTTGTAGTCAAGCACAAAGATACACAATGGGCTATCTGTACTCTGCCCACCACGGGTATCGAAACCCGGTTTACAGCGTTGTAAGTCCGCAGAGATACGGTTGTGCCACTGGGGGGCTCTTTGAGGTCAATTTGAAATAAGTTAAAAGTGAAGTCTTTCTGGACTGAAAGTGATATTACGAGTTATCATGTTGGTGCATTGACAAGATAGAGTTTTGGGAAACAGTGAAGCAATTCAAGGTCACAAAAGAGTGTACAGAAAAAAATATCTAGCCTTTATACATTAAACGATAAAATATTCTGGTTCTGCTGCTTTTGTGCATTCGTGAGCGACACCTAGTGAATCTCACTACAACAGTGTAAGGGAGCTACGTAATGAAGTACGTCATCTATATACGTCACAACGCCAGGTGTACCAGAGAGCAAAACGTTACCCCAGTGTTAGACTATTGCTGTGTATGAGTGGTAGAAGTTACACAGATGGTTCCCCACCTGGCTGTATTAACGTAACGGTTGTTCTTTTGTGTTGTCATCCTACAGGTAGGTTATTTTTACAAAGCCATCTAAAAAAAAAGTATCTGTTAGTTCTTCGGAGGGTGAAATTCTGATTCTCAAAAAATAGTTCAAAATAAGAATTTTATGGAGTATTAATAACTATTAGGACTAGTAAAAATGATTTAGTGCTTTAGAACAAAGGATGTTCTGCTAAGCTTCAGTATTTTAGATATTATTCTATAAAACTGTAGAAGCAGTCGTTGTAAATACTTCACAGACTTATAACACTTTACAAAAAACAAGGTCTTTGTTGCCCAGTTGTTTATGTTTGGCTTCGAGAAAGTTGTGATTAAAACGTAGTTTTTTTTTTATCAAATGTAGAATTATACATCTGTACTGCTTCTTAAATATGCCTTACCTATCTAGGTGAATACTGTAAAACTTGCTAACCAGAATACAGAGATGTTTCAGCAAGATAATCAACAGTCTGTGCTAGCTGAAATCCTATAATCAATAATAAACTTCTAAAATTCGATGGTGAGGAACCCACTTTGAGACTAATAATGCTCGGAGACGGCGTGAATGGGTAATGAAAAAAAAACAACTTTAATATAAGTTTAACATAACAGCAAATGTACAATGTTTCGACAAGGTTTTTAAATGGAGACATGGTGACTAACGTACATAATATAGCTTACGGACCACCTGATAGATTGGTTTTAGATGTACACATGGTGACTAACGTACATAATATAGCTTACGGACCACCTGATAGATTGGTTTTAGATGTAGACATGGTGACTAACGTACATAATATAACTTAGAGCCCACCTGATAGATTGGTTTTAGATGTAAACATGGTGACTAACGTACATAATATAACTTAGAGACCACCTGATAGATTGGTTTTAGATGTAGACATGGTGACTAACGTACATAATATAACTTAGGAACCACCTGATAGATTGGTTTTAGATGTAGACATTGTGACTAACGTACATAATATAACTTAGGAATCACCTGATAGATTGGTTTTAGATGTAGACATTGTGACTAACGTACATAATATAACTTAGGAATCACCTGATAAATTGGTTTTAGATGTAGACATTGTGACTAACGTACATAATATAACTTAGGA